AGTTCCAGGAGATCGGACAGCTGCAAGCTCTTCGCAAAATCTGTACTTCTCTGAATTTCGGATACACCTTTTTTGTTTCTCAAAAATAGTACGGCGGTGTGACAAAAAGGACCACAAGGGACCCTACTTTACAGAACTACCCAAATTGAACCCTCATTCATAGTTCCATTAGAAACTCTGTAGAAACTCTTTTCGATCCCTTTAAGGGAGACTTAAAAGGGATGGGGCAACCCTGAACCCCGAGAATGGCAAGCCGCGGAGCGCTTTAAACACTAAGGCCAATAAAGCCTTTACCCTAATCCATGTACCCCTATAGTATAGACTTTGGGCCACACAGGGGTCCTAAGCATATATTATATAGCCACATAGAGCCTTCGGGTAAGGACTTACATGGGTCTTGTGAGTCTTATTAGCTATGGGAGCCACGTATTTATTTTATGCTTCAGCCTTACAGTAGCCGAGCTTTCAAAGAGGACCCACTAAGGGAGTTCTGGGCCTCACATCATAAACCATCAGGGTTTAGGGTTCAGGGTTTATAGGGTTTATGATTCATAAACTAAGAAGCCGAGGCTGCCATTTCTTCCTAGATGCGTCGGCGGGCTCCCTAATATAGGGGCCTGTCCCTAATATAGGGCCTTAATAATTCGAATAGGGTTTGGGGTAGATTATACTATAAGTATAATAATCAGGAAACCCCAAAACCCTATTCTAATTATTAAGGCCCCTACATTACAATCCCTACAATGTAGTTGCTCTGGGGGGAGCCTGATCTTGGGTCAGGAGGATCCTGCAGTAAGAAATCAAGGAAGCCCAACAATCGCATTAATTCGCTTGTCTATTAATCTAGATTCCCAGAATAGAAATCGAAAGCCCTAAACCCTAAACCCCTAAACCCCTGAACCCTAAACCTTAATCATTTTGGCCGATGAACTCCCGAGTCAGGTAGAGGTTTATGGGATCCGAGGCGAGCCGATGACAGCTGCGCCGCCGGAGAGCGTTGCTGCTCGCTAGGATAGAGAGGTTTGTGGTTTAGGGTTTAGGTTCCAGGGTTTGGCTGTGTTGTAGGGCTTGATGCCGTGTTTTGTTCTAAAGTTGTTTTTTTCGTAAGGGCTTTTAGGTTCTGAATTAAGATTTCGGGTCTCTAGGTTTTTCCTATGCGACCTGCGTCTCTCTCTGACTGGAGCTGAAGCCCCAAGAGCTTCGGCTCAAGCTGAATTTTTGGGGTTCAGGGTTTAGGGTTTGGGGTTTAGGGTTTAGGGTTTGGGGTTTAGGGTCGCTGAACCTTCCAATCCCAACCCCAAGAAAGGCTTGCAGCGAAGGAAGCAGGATACAGTCCCCAATCCAATTAAGGCATGCCCGATAACTTGAGGAAATTAAGCCACTTCAACCCTTAAACCCCATGCCTCAGCCCCTCAAAGCCCTAAGCCTTGTAAGCCTTAAAACCTTAAAGCTGTAAGGCATTCAGACCGCCTGAAGAAATAAATCGGCCTCACGCCAAGCCAACATCCAGTGACAGATTGGACCGAGACAAACAGATGCATGAAGAAGAAGGCGGTCTTGTGGGGGTCCCACACCGACACTGCTGCCGTACTGGTGCTGCTCCGCCACTGCATGAAGGCTCCACTGGAGCTTATGCATCACTTCTTGAAGATTTCTGGGCAGACATGGGAAAGGGAGCAGCGTTTTGCAGATGCCTTTGGCCAGGGTCGTTCATACCGAATCTTGGATGGTTGCCTCAGCCGGACTTCCCAGACCTTCTGGAATACTTTGAGGCTGGCAAGGGCAAATTTGACCAACACTTAATGACTGCCTCAGTGCCTTAATGCTTTTGTGGCCCGAGTGATTTAGTGACTGAGTGAGACTTAGTGACTGACTTATTGACTTAGTCCTGGCTTTACGCCTTAAGCCTTAAGCCTTGAGCTTTCTGCTACTGCAACAGAACATCGACGATTATACACAGCGCAAAACGACCTAAAGGATCAGGCAACATCCGGTGATGGAGCCTCGGTAGCACCCTTATGAAACCCCTACAGCGCCCAAAGGCTCATGCAACATCCCCTGTACAATCCTTACAAGGCACAGCCAGGGCACCATCCGCGATGCATCCCCTCGAATCCTTAGGACCCCAAACCCCAAACCCTGAACCCTAAACTCTAAAGCCTTAAAAGTCCCCCAAAATGAAACCATAAAATCCCTACACCCTAAACCCCCCAAACCCTGAACCCTAAAACCCTAAACCCTAAGCCCTTTGCAAACTGGGTCCTTGTTGGCCACGATCTTACATTTTTGTTATAAGAAAAACCCAATAGGGATCAAAACTGACCATGTTAATATAGCCCCAACAGGGAACCAGCAAAGAGCCGAAAACCTCAAAACCCTATGCCACTAGACCGACTAAACCCGATAAGCCCTCTACAAAGAGCCCAGGTAACATCCGCTGTACCTAATAATCATCGACTCTCCCAAATATTAGCCTAGATACCTAGCATCCGTAACCCAAGTACCTTATTGTTGGGTCCTTTGGACCCTTAGGGTAAAGCCCTAAGCCCAAAACCCCAAAGCCCTGAACTCTAAAACTCTAAACCGACTAAACCCTATAAACCCCTAAACCCCCAGTAAGAAAGACCCAATACGGATTAAACATGATCCTTTTTAATGTAGAGTTTACAGGGAACCAGCAAAGAGCCCAGGTAACATCCGCTGTTGGGGCAAGAGGGCCGGTACCTACGCTAGCTGCTCCGAGGTCAGCCGCCATAGAAGCTCTTCAGAGCTGTTGTTAAGGGTTCTGGGGTTTAGGGTTCTGGGGTTCAGGGTTTAGGGTTTACGGGTGTCTGGGGTTTAGGGTTTCGGGGTTAGAGGTTTAGGGTTTAGGGTTGCTCTTCAGAGCTGTTGTTAAGGCTTCAGGGGCTTTGGGGGGTCCCCTAAAAGGGGGTTAAGGGTACTATAAGGGTTTAGGGTTTTTAGGGTTTAGAGGTTTAGGGTTTAGGGGTTTAGGGTTTCGGGTTCAGGGGTTTAGGGTTTAGGGCTTTGGGTTTAGAGGTTTAGGGTTTAGGGCTTCTTCAACCGGAAGCGCTACAGACCCTGTGGTTTGTAAACATCGGGTTAAACTCGGCTTCGGGCTTTCAGAAATTGTGGAAAGAGTCTTTAGGGTTTGGCGTTTTGGGTTTAGGGTTCTGGGGGATATTGTTGAGGGTTCCGGAGCATTCAGCGGGTTCAGTTCGTTGAACTTTCAGTGGTTTGGAGATTCAGGGTTTCCCTGTGGGCTCGAACAGGGTTGCACCGGGTCTCGATAGTGAGATGCGACTTTTCCTAAGCATGTGCCCAATCCTTTTCAATGTATGTTTTGCTTCGCACTAAAACCCCTAAATGCGTGAGCCTTTCATGTGCTCGGCCGTTTACTGGTTTGAAACCCTGCCTTAGACACGCAAGCCCTCTATTCCTAGACCAAAACCCCATACATCTGTCCCCAAATGTATGCACCTGATTAACGCATACCTGGATCTACACCCACAGCAAACTAGTCGAATCTACAATTAATGTGAAGGGCGGTTTAGGGTTTGGGGTCTTAGACCTGAGCCCGAAACCTCAGCCCCAAGTAACTTACCATTCAATTCAAAGGAGCTTCAACAAGCAATGATAAGGAGGCTGTCGGTTTTCAGGAGGCCCCTGCATACTATAGTAGGTATACTAGAGTTATAATCATTATAACTCTAGCATACCTACTATAATATGCAGGGGCCTCCTGAAAACCGTGGCCTATAACCAGGAATCCGAACAAGGAGGCTTTCTTGATCCCAAGCCTTATAAAGCTTCAACTGTCCGGCTGAGGTTCCCGACAACCTGTGCCAAGATTCCTACGTCCTGGACGATTCGGGGAATGGGATGCACTGTGCCCTGGACGAAACCCTGAACAGTTGGAGCTAAGCTGTTGGTCAATGCTTTCGGATTTATGACTTAGGGTTCGAGGTTGGGGCTTTGAGCGTTCAGCTTTGAGGTGAAGTCCAAGGGAAGGTGACCCTAAACACTCCTCTAGACTACCTGACTACGTACCCCATACACTAGGAGCCCTTGTAGCAAGACGAGGCCGTATGTCAGAGCTGCTTCGAGCAAACGTGGACGCTGAATCATCTGCCTCCGTTGGCGGATTAGACTGATTAGACATCCCTGTTTGTCGAGGGAGCTAGAGTGTACATATCGTTGACAGACAAATTCCTGCAGTACCGCACCGGCCCTCTAATCCTATTCCCTCTGTGGAAGATGAGGGAGCTTCTCGTTTCTGTGACCTGATTCTCGTGACCCTGGTAAATGGTAGGCGTGTTGGTGGCTTGCGTGTGACACGTACAGTACGTCCTTGTTTTGGAAGTACTGTAGCAGGTGCGACGACAGACGCAGCCAAGAGAGTATATGCGCATTGTGTTTTTTTGGGAATTCCTCGTCTCCGTTCTTTTCGAAGCCCTGCTGGGTAGGGGCAGAGAGAGGGTGAGAGAGAGAGAGAGAGAGTTCAAGGCTGAAGTTGAAGGTGCAGCGTCGATGTGCACTACAAGTCCAAGCACCATGTTTTGTGTACCTACTTGCACACATGTTTCCCACATGATGCTGGATTCGTTCCTGCAAAATCTCGGCTCCAGATGACCAATGAGTCAAGCTGCCAATCAGGAGGCAAAAGTACTCCTGCCTGCTTGACATAACGCTTTCTTGACGATGCTCAGCAAGATCGGCGCGATATTCTTCGCAAGCTGCCTTGCTGCGGCATGGAGTTCGGATATGCCCCTGGCACCAAAATCGCTGGCCAGGATTCTTTGCAGGATTGGGCTTCAGCTTGTTCAGGTTTGGAGTTCGCGGGTCTACTATAGGAGCCTAGATAACTACCCATACGATTTTGGGGGGTCCTTTCTTATAGATTTAGTGTAATAAGCCACAACACAACACCCCATCTGTAATTGTTAAGCCTTCTACATTGAGTGTTTGTTTCGCAAAGGCAGTGACGCAATCATGCCCAGGTTCACGAAGCCCTGTCAGCATGGCGACATGTGGCTGGGCAGCAAAGACGTCGAAGGATCCATGCTCACAGCTACAACTTTCTGAAATCTTTGTAGAGATGCATTGTTAATGATCAGACGCATGAGTTTCATCTTGCGATCATCGACGCTCAAGGGCGGAACAGTGCCGTGTTCCATATACTTTCGCTACATCCAGCCTTTCTTTAGCCTTCGGCATACAGTATTATTTTGTCGAGTCCAGGCCATATAGAACATCGCAACGTTTGAATGCAAACAGGTGCCCTTCGGATAGAGACGTCGGCGATGTCAACGCGCTCTTGCAGCATCGGTGGCCCCGGCGCGTTCGGCAGCGCCGCCGTCGCCGCCCCCGCTTCCACCGACAGCGTCGCTTCCATCCCCATTACTATGGAAGGTATTATGGCGTTCCCTGGCCGTGTTGCGAAACGGGAGCGGGATGGTTTTGCAACTTCACTTCTGTATATATTCCGACCCATTATGAAATACGGAAACCATGTCTGTGGCAGAGAACATGCCTCCAAACCCTGTGTCATCATTACATTATGCAATGCTCGAGTCTTCTTTTTTATTTCAAGAGTATGGTTATCATCAGTAGGTTCCTGGCTTCGTCCCGATAAGCCAAGTGATTCCACAAGATACCTTGCCCACCACACCGTGCCGTACCGTACCTTACTTTGCCATACCAGAACATACCGTGACTATACCGCACCACATCACACCACACCGTACTATACTGTATCATACCATACCACACCACACCATACTCATGTTTACATACGCATGTACAGGTACACACATGCATACCGGTGTGT